CCTGACTGTAACCTGATCACAGCCCTCTCACGCTTGTACTGATCAATTCTCATTTGATCTCTTTCGCTTGAGTATCAACTGAAAATAAATTGCACATCTTTTCCAAACAGAGCAATTTTTCTGCCATCTGTTCACCAACATAAATCAGGGCTTGTTGATGTAAACCTCCCTCTTCCTCAAACTCCCCCCCAGTAAGAACTCAAGCAAGCCTAATCCCCCCCAGTCTCCCCTGCCCTCTAAATCATCTCTGCATATTAATGCACTATGCATCACCACCAGCCAGAAGCAGATCTATATGCAAAGCATGCAAAACACAGAACCAAGGACTCTGTTCCACTGGTTATTATAAGCAAGGGGGGAAAGTGACTTTAAATAAAAGTGGTTGTGCTGTCTGCATGCTGCCTAGACAAGTGATTCAGACTTCATTTCTCATATTTGTACTTTAATTTGCTCTGCTAAAATTCTGATTAACATCATTAAATGATATTTAGGAGAGGGTACGGACTATTTTGAACATATTTTTCCCAGTCTTTTGTAGTCACTTTATCGTTTAAGTAAAGAAATGTCACATCTCTTCTCCATGTTGTACAGCAGCATCAGTGCTGTTGCTGGTCACAGGCCATCCCCGACACCCCTTCCTCAATTTCTCGGTCCAAGCTTCACAGCTTTCTTGCTCAGCCGTACAGATGTTTCCACATCGGTCCATAATCCAGCCTGGCTTCCTTATGCCAAGGATTAACACTGGCCAGGCCCAATCGGGGACAGAGAGGTAACCTGGCCGACATGGACAAAGAAAGCTGAGGGAGGCTTAATAGGAACTAAACTCTTTTTATCCAATAAATGTATCCATAGTTAATACGAAAAAAATAAATTCTCAAAACAGAAAAACAGCCGTGTGACGTATGTTTATTTTTCTAACCTGACCTTTAAATCTCTGACTGCACAAATTGTGAGATACACAATGGTTCAGAGTCACATCTGTCCTAATAAATTTCTTTGGAACTACAGTGCAACAAAAACAGGCTTTTAAGGGCAACAGATGGCTAGACAGGGTTTTGAAAGGCATACAGATGTGTGCTCTCATGGGACACACTTGTACAAGAGATGATGCTAGCAAAAGAGAAAACACTTTTAGGAATGGAAGTCATTTAACAGGCCTGTGGCTTTTGCGTATATAACTCATCTTTTTATTTATATAGCAAAGAAAATTGGAAGCAACTGTTTGACCCAGCCGCCTGCATCATGTTTGATTTTAATTAGTTTAATTGGGTACTTAATTCGCTCTCCCAGGCTTGGCATCCCCAGCACACCTAAGTGACCTGGAGGCTGGCCTGTCTTTGGCCAATTTCTCATCCTTTGCTTCTATTTATTTTACTTTTCTCGCTTCTTTAGAGTTAATTGATTCCTTAGCATAAATAAACATCCAGACCAAAGGGCATGCTGCACACCTCTCGTTCTGGAGAAACCAGTAAAAGCAGTCAGAAAGTGCTATTACTAAAATGGAATCAACATTTAAGTACAGAAATGTGGTTATGTGCACATATTTTCAGAGTACGTGGACAAAGTTTAGTTGTGTGAGAGATCAACAGGGATGTATAATTGCACAAACACAGCTTTGATTAAACTTTCACTAATTAAAAATCCCCCTCATCTGATTAGCTGGACTAATTGATTTAATTTGTCTTTGCTCAACTATTGGCTGTGACCTCTACTTAGTTAATTAATTAATTGATTCAGCCCAAGTGCATTTGAAGAAGTCAAAGAGGATTTTGACATGTTGCCCCTTTAATCTTGCTCCCTCTGGACAATCTTTGGGTCATGTTGGCGGGGAATTGGCAATGTGTCCCCTGGAAGGTGGGAGTTCTGGACTGGATCACAAGTAAAAAGTTCAGTAGTTTGACGGTGAATAAGCATGCAACTTTTGCAACAACATTTTAAAAGCAGAAATCCATTAAATTGCTATATCAAACTTTGAAATGAATTAGAATTATTAAGAAAACAGGCAGATTATTTTTTTCTTTACCATCTTGCTACAAGCAGATGAGGCAAGACTCTAAAAGGTCTTCGTTTTGAAATAGAAAAATATGATCCAATAATGCAGCAATAATGCATGATTAGAACCAGTGTACATCCTTTACAAGGGCGCAAAGATGCCTAAATCACAAGCGAACACTTTATTGACATCGTTTTTCTTAGTAATGGTACAAGACAGAGGAGCTTTCTCGACTTGGAAGCAGTTATTAACCAGATGCAAGGAGGACAGCAACATCTAATCTTGGCACCATTTAGGGGTATTTGCAGCAGTAATGGTGCTGCATTTGCCCATTCATCAAAGCCTGCAATAATATAGGAGCTGGATTTTGTTCAAAGAAGCCTATATAAGACGAAAGAGAGAACACTCGGTGTCATGCCCTTGGACGAGCTGCTCTTCAACGGATTAAAAAGTGCTGGAAAATGCAGCGAAATATGGACAAACAGCACCCTCGAGTGGTTTCTTATTGAAGATGTTTTCCTTCCCTCTGGAGGGAAAACACTCAACAAATATGAATCTCACCAACAAATATATTTTTTAAACAAATTCAACCAATTCAACCAATAATGAATTGTTTGAACATTATGAAATTACAATGTAGATAGCTTGTAGAAAAGGAACAACAGCTACCCTGTTCATGTGAGCTTTCCAGCTCTATTCGTTCTTAAGCAGAGATTTGGAGTTCAGTTCCTGGCACAACACTTAAAAATAGTATTCATGAGAGATGAACAACTGATGTGCCTTGGTGAAGTAAAAAAATGTGGGCTCTTCACAGTTTAGGCTTACCTAAACCACACTTTTAAAATGACTTTTTCTTCCATCTTTCATGAAAACGTTCTAACAATGAGCAGAAAATGTCCAAATGAATATTTGAAATAAAGATGACAGTTGAGAGAAGAAAAAAAAGACATTTTAATAATCTTATGTTTTCTTATCTTCATAATCTCACTCAAGTTGGAATCTTATTTGGCTCATTTTAGCACTTTTATCCTTGTCTCACATACTGTAGTTTTGATTTCTTCTGGGGAAAAACAACAGTTAAAAATGACTATAAGTATTCCTTGATATAGAGAAAAACAGGAATTTGTTTGAGAAGCAAAATTATTTCTGCTTTGATGATAAATTCTGTGTTAGAATATACATATGGGACATATGCTGTTTTAATTTTGTGTTTTGAATTTGGTAATGCTTTAAAATATATAATTAAACGCTAAATACATTAGTAATACATTTTAGTCCGCATTTTTAAACTGATAAACATGAATGGAGGAAGATTTGGGTCATTTGACAGTCATAATTACTGTTTAGATTTACTGTAATGAATATTCATATATTTTGCTTCCTCTTGTTAGTTATTTGATTTCTTTATTAATTTATTTACCTAACAGGAATGGAACTAATCCACGGCTACATTCAAACAATATCCCATGTACAAATAGTAATGGCTACTCCTGTCGAGCCAAAATATGCGCTTTACTAGCCCTAAGCTGAACAATATTCCAGAGCAAATATCTCAGAGAAGGGCTCATACATTATTAAGCTGTGTGTTGTGCTGTCTGCGGCACAACACACACAAGGCTGGAGGTGGTGAGAGGATTTCAAGGCTGCAGTCTGTAATGGCACGGTTCCTGTATAGCTGTGTAACTGGAACTCATCCTAAACCACTCTGGCAACCTGAGGTATGGAATATGAACTACAATGCTGTTTGTGAATGATAGTGGATACAATCTTATTTATTTTCAAAGACTATAATTATGTCAGAAGCAAATTGACTCACATGGACTTTCAGGAACAATAAGTGATGTTGGCCCAAAAAATACTCTCTTTTTTCCCCCTTTATAAACAGAGCCATTTAAAATCAATGACCACTTGACTTAAATGCTTATGCTGTGGACTTGATTGCTAAAGTCAATCATGATATAAAAGCAAATTACATGGATTAATGCATGCAGCCTCGGGGACAGCTTTATGTATGTTTGATTAAACATTCCAAGGTTTGTTTTTTTTCTACATTGCAAGATTCATCTTTAAATAATCTGCAGAATGCCCCAGTGCACCATTTACAACTATAATAAACTCTGCTTTTTTTTTTTAAATACCAGCATTTATTATGACTTTTGGTCACCTGCTGCCATCTGGCTTGTTGACAGATCGTAGAGATATAATCCTTCGTTCAGCCAATAAATCGGCCTAATGAAGGTTGCACGTTGTACAGAGTGAGAAGCTTGAAAGCAGACTTACGAGGACATGCAAGTGCACACACTGTCCAACCTTGTGTTAGCTTTACTGACACATGAATACAGATGCACACATGCCCTTTGCAATGTCATCCACTAAAAAATGCTGCAGGCACAGTCATATGACTCCAGTTAACTGCTTTTTTCAGACGTATGCAGTCTAATACAACCCTCCTGCAATAAATCCTTTTATTGTATTACTGTGTATTTCATTCTGTTAGACCCATTCATTAGGATTGGAACAGGCTTTAAAACAGGGGCACACTAACATCTCTCCTAAACAGATTTAACTATAACTGGGTGTCATTGGTAGATAGATGAGTCTCTATTATTGGGAATTATTTAGAAAAAGACTGGAGAAAGTCATGTGACTTTACGATGGATCGGTTATTTGCTTGAATATTTCAAGCAAATATACAGCTCTTTGGGCTGTATATAATGTTTGTACAAGGACAGAAACATATTCAACAATAAAAGCATTCCTAAAGCGATAATGTCCCCCTAAATTTTACTTTATATTTTTAAAACAGTCATATTCATTCTATATTATAAGTACAGTTATAAGCTACTTGTACTTTTTTCCTTGTTTACAGTTTAAAATTAAGATTTGAAAGACTAAATGTCATTTTGCAACTTTTACTTGTTTTCCCATCTGGAGTTTCCCTAAATGTTTTGAAAACCCCTGATTTTTTTTTTTTTTCCAAATTCCAGAGTGATTTAAATTTGCTCAAATGGCAAGATGGCGGACTCTCACTGCAACGCACGAACAAGGTAAGGAGCCGAAGGGGGGGCTACCGGGCTACCGCGCTACCGGGCAACCGGGCTACCGGGCCGGAGGGGGGGCTACCGGGCTACTGCGTCCTAGGGCTCCCGCGATACCGGGGTTCGGTGCGGGTCTACTCTGACAGTGATATCGAACCGGGGTCGGGGGTCCGGGTCTCCCCTTCGGGGAGCCCCGGCCCCCCTCCCCCGGTGGCCGTTTTCCCCGATATTCCCCGGTTTTCCCGGTATTCCCGGTTTTCCGTTTTTCGTGTTTTACCGCAGTATTGCGGTAGCCCGCCCACTTCCTTGTTTTTGTCACATGACTAAAAACAAGTCACATGACTAAAAACAAACCAATGAGAATCTAAACTAAAGCATATTCAACCAAATATCTTAAAGATTTAGGGGGGGGGGCGGCGGCACGGAGCTACCAGGATACCGGGACACCGGGCTACCGGTGCCGGGGTCCGGTAGGGGATGCCGAGTGCCAACGTACGTAATAATCAGAGAAAAATGATTCTTTTCCAAGGTTTTCAACTTGCACAGCCACAGAGACTGCAATTATATAGCTGTGTATATATATTTATGGGACGTGCGGTCATCATCAAGACAAAACATACGATGACATATTATTATTTGTTCGCCGATCTTTATGTATGACTAATTGCGATAATTTTAATTGTCAAAATCGCTAATATTGCACATTTTCTGTTGAAATACGGGGTGAAACGTGATGTGCGCCAGCGATAATGTGGCCGTTTTCCCCGATATTCACCGGTTTTCCCGGTATTCCCGGTTTTCCGTTTTTCGTATTTTACCGTATTTTACCGGTAGCATGGTAGCCCGCCCACTTCCTTGTTTTTGTCACATGACTAAAAACAAGTCACATGACTAAAAACAAACCAATGAGAATCTAAACTAAAGCAGATTCAACCAAATATCTTAAAGATTTAGGGGGGGGGCGGCGGCACGGAGCTACCAGGAAACCGGGATACCGGGCTACCGGTGCCGGGGTCCGGTAGGGGGTGCCGAGTGCCAACGTACGTAATAATCTGAGAAAAATGATTCTTTTCCAAGGTTTTCAACTTGCACAGCCACAGAGACTGCAATTATATAGCTGTGTATATATATTTATGGGACGTGTGGTCATCCTCACAAGACAAAACATACGATGTCATATTATTATTTGTCCGCCGATCTTTATGTATGACTAATTGTGATCATTTTAATTGTCAAAATCGCTGAAATTGCACATTTCCTGTTGAAATACGGGGTGAAACGTGATGTGCGGCAGCAAGGAGCCGAGTTGAACCTCTGATTGCGCAATCCATCCCAAACTGGGCTGTTGGTGTCTGTCGGCGTATCGCTGAAATACGTTTCTATAGTCTGATTTTGGAGTCTGGCTAATGTCTTCAAGAATGTCTGTCTGTCTGTCTGTCTGTCTGTCTGTCTGTCTGTCTGTCTGTCTGTCTGTCTGTCTGTCTGTCTGTCTGTCTGTCTGTCTATTTATTTCCCGGATATATTAGTGTGTGGTTGAAAGGGTGAATAAGTTATATTAACTTAAAGCACTTTGGAGAAAGGTGCTTTATGGAGTTCACTCCGTTTTCTTTTATTAGTTTATGGGGCGTTCTGCCACATCCAAGATGGGGGACTCGTAGACGTATCCTTGCAACGGACTAACAGTCTCAACGCGGCTTCATCGTAAGTCTATGGTTCCGGTTATGTGCCGTTGCCGCGCAACAGGAGTCAGTTGACCAATGACGTGTTGTGGCGTCATAAACAATCGCCCTGGCGCCTTGCTCTGAAACTAAACGGAAGAAAATAGTCCAGACTTGATCTGGTGCCTCGCGCCTCCTCCCCACCCCCCTAATAAACCGGAGGGACTGGTTTTAACGCTGGACTGTCGCTCTTTAAGGAATAAAAAATAGCAACGGGCTGCAAACTAAGAGGACCTTACGAGACGAGGACGAAGAAGTGTCTGGAAGCAGCTGTGGACGCGGAGCGGTTCTCTCTAAATGAGACGGAATGGACGGCGGCGGGGATAACGTGGCTCATGAATCTGCGGGTAGCTACACAATTCTCCTGTTTGTCTTTAGCTGAGGACGCATGCTTAAAACATAAAGCTAGCAGCTGCCTTAGCTTCTAACGCGGTATTACACTATAATAAAGTTTCCTTTGGCCGTCTTGAGAAAAACGTGAAAGTGGGGCTCCACCATCTTTTGATTTCTGGGGTTTTACTTGCGCGGGAACGATGAAAATTAATCCCGTCCTCAAACTAAACGAGTTCGATATAAACCAAGAAAGCAAAAACGCCTCTCGTTCAGTTAATTATTTAGCAAAATTCAGCAGTCTGGAGCAGGAGTGTGTTTATACAAGGTCAAGGAGGAAAGACATCAGCCATAACCTAAGAGTCATCTGGATTCCACCACCCCTTAGAGAGAGAGAGTTTATTCACAGGTGAAGACATTCAGGATGGCTGCCAGTTTGTCCAACAAGGTCCCCCTTAGCTCATCCATCCCAGATGATCCGAGCAGGTTCTGCAGCACCAGGCCCTTAAAGTCCACCAGGAACCCCCCAGGATCCCAAAGTGTTCAGAGTCAGACGGGAGGCCGTCTGTCCCACAGCTGAAGCTGGAGCCAGCCCCCCAACAGGACTGAGATCCAAACCCGGCAGCAGAGCCGTGCAGGAACCTCCATGAGCTGAATAGCTACAGGCAGCAGAGAGGGACAAAAGTCCTCCACAGCCATCGCAGAGACTGAGAGACCACCAGAAACCAGTTTCTAAACTGGCTGCTTTGGGTCTGCTCTCAGTTTTTGTTCCATAAATAAACCAGACAGTGTCTTCTGTCACATGATCCTGTGCTCTCTTTAGGTTCCCTCAAATTTAGAACCTGACAGGAACTCGATGAGGAGGGAAAAGGAAATGTGTCCATTTCAGGAGCATAGTTTGATGACGTCGTTGTGGTTGAACTGATGGCTTTTATGTACAGCTGTCGGTTGCTCAGCTGGTCCACAGATTTCTTCCTCACTCTAAACTTTGTCTTCTAGGAAAGGACAGCTCCGATGATGATGATTTCATCCCACTGTCGAAGCTCCTGATGAGGCCTCCAAGTGGCGGGAAGAAGTCGTGTGACAACACCCACAGCTCCAACTCAAATTCAAAGAAAGACGATGGAGGTAACGACCACCTCAAAGGTCTGATTTCCACTTGGTTTCAGCAGCTCCTCCAGCTGTTAGCGGTTTTAGTGCTCAGCTGCTTTGGGGTTGGGAGCCCCAGAGGTTCAGATTTATCCACAAATCTGCCTCTTTTAGCTTTTATGCTCTTGTCTTTTTGAACAGATGGGATCAATGTTTCATATTTTTTCCGTCACTTTTTTGTTATCTTTTAGAAAAAAAATTAATTGACCTATTTCACTCATGTTTTTGTAGTTATGGATTTTTTTCAAATATTCAACCCATGTTTTTTACTGTTTTTATTCTATTTGATCCATTTGATTTTATTTACATAGTTTTTCTTTTTTTCAAATGTATTTTCATGTATTAACATTTTTATTTAATGTATTTTAAGTTATTATTTTTAATTTGTGTTTTTACTTAAATTTTTTATAGCTTTATTTTGATAAAATAATTTCTATGTTTTCTTTATGTATGTATTCTATTTATTTATCTTAATCTAATTTAATTGGATCGAATTCCATCTTTGTCTGTAGGTCCTGGGTTTTAGTTTCCTGTTGGTGAGGGTTCAGACCTTTTGAGATCAAAACTCTGTGTGCTTTGGGGGGGGAAAGCATTAAGTGACATTTCTTTATCCTCACTGCTCATTTTTCTGTCTTTGAAATGTCAAACCAGCCATTTTTCTCTGCGTTGAAGTTGGATTTTAACCAGCAGGTTCTCTTTGTTTCGCAGCTTTGGACGACTCCGACGACGACCCGCTGATGAAGCTGAAGAAAGCCGAGCAGGACAAAAAGGAGAACACGCCTCCCAAACCTTCTGGTACTGAGCCGGCCGCTCTCCTCCCGCCCGCCGCCGCCGCCGGCCAGCTGCTGTTTGATCATCAGTCTTTTTCTTCAGGTTCCAACACAGACTGCGACTCCGACAACGAGCCGCTGGTCAAAATGGCCAAAGTTTCCTCCAAAGCCGCCAGGAAGCCGCGCTCTGCAGCCCCGAGGAAGTCAGCCAGCAGGAAGAAGAGAGGTGGGAGGAGCCCGCCGCCTCCCTAGCGTTTTCCGCCGCACCGCCTCTGACTTCCGTTTTCCCCGTTTGCTCGCAGCGTCCCCGCAGAAGGACGACAGCTCCGACGACGACGAGCCTCTGAGTCAGATCGCCAAGAAGGTGAGGGACCAGTACCCGAGGAGGCGGGCGGTCATGGCGTCCAAGAAGCCCCCCCCGGCCGTCAAATCCCAGCGGACGGCGGCCAGGAAAAGCGGTGGGTGTGACTCCCGCCGGCCCGAGTGGCATCCTGTCTCTGACCAGAGGTCAGAGTTCTGACTCCATCAAAGGCAGCAAGAAACTTAGATGTCATCATTGATGACCAGCTGACCTTTAAAGATCATGTTACCTTCGTTTCTCGATCTTTTCGCTTCACAATACTTAACATAGGAAAGATCCGGCCATACCTAACCGCCCAGCTCAGTGTAGTCAAACTCAGGTCCTACTTGTATTAAGTTCTTCTTGTCTTCGTTTGCGTTAGTCATGCTTTTTGTTTTCTTTGGGTCAGACAATAGTAATCCACAAGAATGTTTTTACCTTGTTGACATGTTTCGGCTGCCAACTGCAAGCCGTCCTCAGAACTGTCACCGATGGAGTGGGTGACGTGCCATTTACGGATGTTACTTCCTGTAGGCGTGGCCAGCCTGTACAGACCGCACAGGTCTGCCAGACTGGCCACGCCCACAGCCGCCCCTTGGTCTCTGGAGGATGCTGTCCCATGTGGGTGAGAGGAGAAATGTTCCTTCGTCTCTGTTGATTGTTTCTGTGCCTCGCCTCCTGATTTCCATTGCCTCCTTTATCCAGCGTTTGAATTTGTTGGTTTCGGATCCAACGATGTGTGCCCCATCCCAGTCCATAATGTGGTTATTTCTCTTGCAGTGATCTGATATGGCCGATTTCAGGTTTTCTTGTTCCGCTTTGTCTTTTTTCGTTCTTGTGAGTCTCCCTGTTGTTTCTTTTTCACACTCTGTTTGGTGCTCCTTTTTTCTTGTGCTGAAAGCCCGTCCTGTTTCACCAATGTATGTTTTATTGCAGGATTTGCATGGGATTTCATAAATGATATTGCATTTTTTGTCTTGTGTGATCTGGTCCTTGGGGTGAACTAAAAGTTGCCTGAGTTTGGTGTGTGGTTTTACTACTGTGTTAATGTTATGTTTCCTCATCGCCCTCTGTATTGGTTCTGTTATGCCCCGTATGTATGGTAATATGACTGTGCTTTTGTATTCCGGTGTGTCCTGTAGTTTCCTTTTTTTCTTCTGTTTGCTGGTTTTGTTTCTGACTCGTTGCTTTCCCCTGTTTATGGCCCATTTTGGATAGTGACATTGTATGAGTACCTGTTCTATATGTTTCTCCTCCTCCTCTCTGTCTGCTGGGTCTGTGATGATGGTGGCTCTTTCATATAATGTGCGTACGACGGATAGTTTGTGCGCGATGGGGTGCTCTGATGTCCATAGTAGGTATTGGTCGGTGTGGGTAGGTTTCCGGTAAACTGTTATCTTTATGCTGCCGTCGTTGTTGTGGTGAATCTTTATGTCCAGAAAAGCAATGCTATTGTCCTTCTCCTCCTCATGTGTAAACTGTATGTTTCCGGTGGTGTCCATTTTATTGAGGTGGTCTGTGAGATTTTGCGTGTGTCCTTGTTGTATTATTTCCAGTATGTCGTCAACGTATCTTTTCCAGAGGGTGATATTGCAGTGGGTGGGTGCTGTTCTGATGGCTCTCTGTTCCAGGTCCTCCATGAAAAAACTGCTCATTATTGCTGAAAGTGGGTCTCCCATGGCGAATCCTCGTTTCTGTCTGTATATTACGTTGTTGTGTTGAAAGTAGGTGGAGTTGGCTATGAAATCTAATAGTTGTATTATGTCTTCCACTGTCAAATTTGTGCGTTTTCTCAGTGTCTTGTCCTTCCTTAGTTTTTCTTGTACAATGTGAATGGTGACTTCCACAGGGGTCTTGGTGAATAGTGATATGACATCGTGTGATATGAATATTTCATCCGGTTTGACTATAATCTGTTTGAGTTCCTGTGCAAGCTGTTTAGAGTTGGCGCAGTGCTGTTCGGTGTGTCCAATTAATGGTTTGATTATTTCGACGAGTGCCTTGGATAAATTATATGTGACGGAGCCTATGGAGTCGACTATGGGGCGGAGGGGAGTGTCTTGTTTGTGGATTTTGGGAGTGCCGTATATGCGTGGTGTGATGCTGGCGGTGGGTATTAAGTTGTCATATGTTTCCTGTGTTATCTTGTTTTGCTGTGCCAATGGTTTCAACAGTCCTTTGAGTGCTTTTTTCTTCTTTTCTGTGGGATTTTTTGTTAATATATCGTAGGTGTTCTTGTCGTCCAGGAGTTCTTTCATTTTGTTCTCATATGTTACTGCGTCTAAAACTACCGTGGTCCTTCCCTTGTCCGCTGGTACCACTGTTATTGTTTTATCTCTCCTTAATGTGTGGATTGCTACTCTCTCCTCTTTCGATATATTGCTGCTGGGTATTCTTGCTGCCTTTAAAATGCCTGCCACTGTATTGCGCAATTCTGCCTTTTCACCTTGTGTTTTTAAGTTTGTACATGCTAATTCTGTTGCTAAGATGTATTCTTCGTGTGGTATTATGTCCGGTGAAATTGCGTAATTGAGTCCTTTTGATAATATTTCCTTCTCCGGTTCTGTTAACTTGCGTTGTGATGCGTTATGTATCCATTTTTCGTTGATGCTAGATTTTCTTATATTTTCTTTTTGGTCCTTCTTCTCCAGTAGTCTGCGTAATTTTGCGCGCTGACACGTTTTTGTTTTTCCAAATTCCCCCTCGTATGTTAGCTCTAAGTGTCTGTCTATCTGTTTGTCCAGGTCTTGCACTGGGTAGCGTAATTTAAACTCCGTCTTACCTGTTTCCCGCATCCGCTCGATGTTTTGTAGCTTGTCATTTATAATCCTGATCCTTTCTTGTAGTAGCGCTTTCTTCGTTTTATTGATGATTTTGTTTGCGTTGTTGGTTGGGATGGGGCATTTGATGTTGATGCTGGCTGGAATGAGCTCTTCATCCTTGCATCGGAGGTTGAAACGTAGATGGTTTTTGAAACGCGCACGGGACTTTTCCAATCTCTCCAAGTGGCGGAACGTTTTGACACCTGCGCGTCCGAATCTTCCACGTATTACTCAGGTCCCTGATGCCCACAGAGTGCTTAAGGGTTCGGCTCCCGTCTACCTGAACCCTCTCAGAGGCTCCTGTCCCAGCTCAGCCCTCCGGTCATCAGCGGGTTGTGGTCCAGCAAAGCTGCTCCACGTTAAGACAGTCAGACTGTTCTCAGGTGTGGTTCCAAGATGGAGGAAGGAGCTACCAGGCCTAGAAGAGCAGCAGGCCCCTGTCTGTCTTTATAAACTCCCACAGACCCCCCTCCCCACAGAGCACCTCCTATCCTAACTCCTCCCCAGACCTCTGGACCCTCTACTCCTCTTTCTGAGCTTCCCTCTATCTCCTACCGTCTCCACTGACTCTGACTGGGGATTTTCCTCCAGAGAGTAGATTGTCAGATTGAGGAGAACTGTAACATTGGGTCTACTTTGTGAGTCGCTTTGGATAAAAGCGTATAAATGCAGAAACAGAAACCTAAACAGAGGCTTTTCCCTCCTTCTGCAGTGAAATACGTGGAGACGTCCAGCGACCGCAGCTCCGAGGACGAGCCGCCGGCCGAGGGCAAGAGGAGGAGGAGCTCCGGGGGGCCCAGAGAGCAGAAGAGCTCCCCTGCCAAGCGGGCAGCCAGCAGCCGTCCAGGTAAATCCCTGCTCTCAGGCCGGGGGGGGGGGGAGCCTCGGGCCCTCCACCGCTAACTTCTGCCCTCCTCAGACAGCAGCTCCGAGGAGGACGAGGTCCCGCTGGCGGCCCTGGTGAAGAAAAAACCAGTGAAGAGGAACACAAAGAGGAGCCCCAGGGGCAGGGCGTCGGGGCAGAGGAGAGGTAGCGAGAAGGCCGGCTCGCCGCCGTCTGGCGTCCGGCCGCCGGTTAAACGTGGCTGTCGTTGGGCAGGACTCTGCAAGCAGAGCTCCGAGGACGAGCAGCGCCCAGAGCCACGGGCGGCCAGGACCACCCACCCCAGCTGAGACTACCAGGGGAGCAACTAGCTACATGCTGAGGGGTATGCAGACTCATTATTATCCTTGTTGGAGATCTGATTGGACGCTGCATAAACTCAGTTAAGACATCTAAACTCAAGTGTATCATTCCCCAGTTGAACCATCTCCCTGCTTAAGATGCTGCCCCCCAACCCGACCACAGATAAGCGATGGATGATGGAAGGGTAGAAAACTAAAGGGTTATTAACCCTTTCCTGGCCCCACAGCCCCGACCTCTGCTTGTATCTCCATTCATCCCTGTGGAGGGATCACCCTCAGCCCTCCCTGTGATCATCGGCTCTTTGGGCCACTTCTCTCATATTTATCAGCATCAGAACCATTAACTATGCAGCTTAAAACACACCTGATTTCTTAGAGGTCAGAACCAAACCAGGAGAGGCTTCATTTCAGTTTGATGCTCCTCAAATCTGAATCGGTCTTCTTGAAGAGGTGAAACAGGGTTACTACAGCTGAATTTTTTTTAGCCTTTAATCTATTTATTTTATTTGGTTAAACTTATTTTTATTTGTTTTCTTTATCTTCATTGTCTGCTTTTAAAATGTAAGGTACTTTGAGTTGTCGTGGACACAAAACTCAAACTGTAACATAAACCTGTCTCGCCTCATTTTGGATGGGATTTCCCCTCCGCTTGTGGATTAAAGTTCCTCTTCCTCCCACAGGACGTCCCAGACCCTGTGAACTACTTTGTGACCCACTGGAGCAAAGACAGGTGGTCTCAGATGTCCTACAGCTTTGTGAAGACGGGCGGCAGCGGGGAGGCCTACGACGTGCTGGCCGAGGATGTGCAGGGAAAGCTGTTCTTCGCCGGAGAGGTAACTCTCCTGCCTCCTCCTGAGCCGCCCAACGCCGCCATTTGGCAGCTCGTTTTCACGCTTTGCTTAAAACACACCTGAACCAGCACAAAACCAGAGATTCAACCGGCAGCAGTAAGAATCCTAAAACCAGTGGAGTAGAGCTCTCTTCTTCTTTGGGCTTTTTTCCTCTGGTCGGGATTAACTGACTTTCAGACAATCGACCATCTCTGACCCCTCGACTGAGCCCTCCCCTTAAGAAGTTTCAGGATGAAAACAGAGATTTCTTTAAGCTCCAAGAAGTCCAGCTGCCTGCCCAACCCAAACTACCTCAACCAGTTGGTGACAAAAGAAATGAGAAAATAAAATGAACTCTGCGGGCTGAATATTGTCACTTAAACTCAGTGAGGACAGGAAACGGATCACCAGCTCACCGAGTCCGCTGACTGTTTCAGGATTCAGGCTTCAAGAAGCATCAGGATGTGAGGAGAAAAGTCTCACAAGAAGAAGAAGTCCAGCTGGCTGTGTTTAGGCTCTGAGCATCAGTAACCCAGCTAATGCTCAATATGTGACTGTGTTTGATTCCACTGGTTTTAAACCAGGTTTAACCTTTCATTATTTGTCATTTCTTTTCCCACCAGGCCACCAACCGATACTTCCCTCAGACCGTGACGGGGGCCTACCTCAGCGGGGTCCGAGAGGCCAGCAAAATGGCTGCTGTGTAAGCCGGCGGCCTCGCAGCCCTTGGACTCCGGCACCGCCAGACGGATGGCCGACACGGCCGGCGTGGAGCTGAGCGCCTTGGAGCTGAGTGGCGGCATACCTCTGCATCAGGGTCCAGCAGGGCTCTCTGCACCTGCTTTCACACACTTGGCACAACAGCAGGGGAGCTGCTCTATATTTATATCAAATCCCATCAGGGAAAGTGCTTTTTTAAAATCGAAAACCACCTCAAAGTGCAGCTCTGTCAGATTCTGGGAAGCAGGACGCTGTTTTTACTCCACTTCAGTTCACAGTCAGCACTTGCTTTGATTTGCTTAAAACTTTAGGAAAACTAGGTCTTTAATCAGGAATACCTAAATAACTTTAATATCCTGGGATTATGGTCGTGTGATCGGGTCTAAAATATCGTTAAACACGGTGTAGTGAGGTAGATTTATTCTTTCTGTGGTTTAGACGGTTAGACTTAGATATGGAGAACTTCTTTCATGTCGGTGGATTTTTCGAAACGTTTAAAGGAGGAATTCGATCAGGACACATCAGCCGTCCCATTTCTTTCTCAGGGATGGTATCATGAAATCAAATAAGCCCATACGGTGAGAAAAGAGTGGAAAAATAATGAGAATGGACAGTGTTGGATTTAAACAGCTGTTGATGCCGGCGTGTTACTCCTTTCTGTCTCTTCCTGTGTGTCTGAGGCCTGAATATTTATCCTGTATGTGTCTAATAAACTGAGCTCAAAACTGCCGAAAGAAGCGGTTTCACTTGCATTGAGTGTTTCTGCCCTCCTCCGCCAAAAAGTCAGATCAATTCTGATTATTTCTGTTCTACATTTGGTTCTTTCAGTGTGTCTGTGACTGACATGGATATACAGATGGTTTAGCATAAAATAGTCCTTAAATGATCCCTGGTGGTAATATCACAATTTTTTAGTTGGTTTCGTTACTTGTTCCCTATATCTTAACTAATTTCGTTGGAAAAATGTTTTACATCTACTATGAAAAAGATTGCCAGAACAGAACAACCTCAGTCATAATAAAAACACGCAATAAGGACCAGAAAATCTGACATTTTGAACCTTGAAAAAAAAAATCTTTGTTTAGATGTTTCAAAGATGTATGTATGGATGCATGCATCTATGTATACATATATATATATATAAAAATTGTGAATTTAAAAACGATTCATCAAAATCAGTTAAATGTAAATGTTTGTGCTCTGTATCCAGAAAGCCACATCTACTTTTCAGGATCTGGTTATTATGGACACAGATTACATGTTAAATTTCAATATTTCAGTATTTATATCACAGAAACAGTTACAGGCTTTACTAGCTAAAAACACTCAGTATCAAAAGTACAGACGCTGGTTTACATTAAAACTGTATGTATGTATGTATGTATGTATGTATGTATGTATGTATGTATGTATGTATGTATGTA